TGACCTAGTTGGAACAAGAACGTCCTGTATATGATTTTGTAGAGAATTTTAAGGCACGTCGAATGATATATAGGAAATCAGATTTTTATTATGTTTTCATGTCCTGAGGATCCATATACCGGGTATAAATCCATAGGAGTATATAAATACTAGAAGCTTTATGGCGCTCGATAACAAATATATGTGAGTTTGGTTTTTAAACCTAATTCAATACAATTATAAGTGCTCTTCAATTTTTTATAATCGAGAAGTTTCACTGCAGCTATGCTGTAATTAAAAAGGGTGGTTCTTCATAGGTCTAGGTTGTTTATTGGCAAAATGACATTCCAATGTGTTCAGTCCTGTGCCATAAGATAATTGAGCAACAATGTGAAACTTTCTCAAAAACTGCACACCAGTCACCTCTATATGTTTCATAGATCAAATCTTCTGGAACAGTAGGGACTGACTGATAGCGTATAAGATGGTAGTGCAAAATACCCTATTTTAGCTGATCATGGCCTAGGTATATTGACGAAATCTTAACAATATTCAATACTCTTAGTAAAAATTTTTATATGTAAATAATCAGTGAAGCATGCGTCATCATTTGATATAAGTGAGTTTTTTGTAGATTGAAAAAAATTTTTTGACCCCCATACCCCTCGAGGGATGGGGAGGATTCCGGAACTTCGCCAATAAGACTTTCCCCAATTGGTGGGAGTCCAACGGGCTTTCGCCAATTTGGCTGTAAACTAGATGCGGATTCGAAAATTCCTGCCGGCTATATTGATGAATGTAAGTTATGATATATATTCTAACAACATTAGCTCCAGCTAGAGCCCGTTGGATCTACTGGGACTCGCACGCGACCGGATCCGGATCTGAAAGCTTTGTAATCATTGAGTTCGTGTCCGGGTTCGGAAAATCTTACTGATCGGATCCAGATCCAAAGTAATATCTCATGTATATAATAATCTTTTTGGGATTTCTTTCAGTTTTTCTCTTAAAAGATCCATCAGTCGGGTTCGGATCCAGAAATTCTTGAATTCGACAGACTGTAGCTTCAACTCTTACATATACTCTGTATGAATATTGTTTCGTGACAATGGGAGAAAGTCTACTGTACTTTCGCCAATACATTCCCTGGAATTTCGTCAATTGGCGAAAGTCCACTGTACTTTCGTCATCACACTCATCAGAATTTCGCCATTGGCGAAAGTCTATATTGGCTAACTTCCGGTAACCCGGAGGGAGGGGGGGGGGTACGGAAAATGGAAAAAAAATTTTCACAGTGAATACTAGTTATATATAAATTCTTTTAGAGTCTCACCCATACATAATATCCGTATGATTGGGAATGAAATTAGGAAAAGAATTTCAAAAAAAGAGAACCTTTATTTGGAACCTTATCCCCTTACTCTCCTCCAGGAGTCTGGATGTCAAAAAACTTTTTTCAATCTACAAAGAACTCACTTATATCAAATGATTACGCGTACTTCACTGATTATTTACATATAAAATTTTTTACTAAGAGTATTGAATATTGTTAAGATTTCGTCAATATACCTAGGCCATGATTAGCTAAAATAGGGTATTTTGCATCACCAGTTGTAGGGGGCAGGTCTTATCTATATTTTGGTGTGAACCTTAAATCGGTATCATGAGGTTTGCTGGAGCAAATCTCTACAACACGGAAACCTACTTTTTCATCCTCGATACGATAATAACTCTTTATTAGCTCAATATTCCGTGCTGAAATATTTACTGTGAACTATACGTACTTGGACACATATTCTCTGGAAGTTTCAATCGAATCTTTTGTTCTAGAAAAAGAAAATAGATTTTCGAATAGGGTCTTAACGTTCAGCATAATTCGGTTTTCTGTGAAAATTAATTATTCAAGTAGTGTATGTGAACAGAAATTGAACAAAAGGAAAAGTGGTAGCAAAAGTAGATCAGTAGAACCCCGAAACAAGCGCTAAATGCTCGTTTTTTGGAAGCAAGATTGCAGTTTCATGAATCAATTGAATCATGAGCATCACACACAAGCGTTCATGTGTGCTGTTTATGGACACGAAAGTCAAGAGATGAGAACATATCTTGAGACATTTGCATGTGCAAGCACATGACAAAAATGAGTTTATCTAGGAAATAGGTTCAGAATTCCTCACTGTCGACATTCTATTTTTATCAAGCTTTTTGCACTATTGTTTATGAGTAATTTTTTTCGTCCTTCTTTTCATCACATAGGATTTCAATCCATTATCATTAGCCGAGAGTTAGTTTTAATGATGCGTTCAGAAATATTGAATAGAATTAGATAACTCAGAACCGCCCAAGTTGAAGCCACCACATCTGATCAATTTCTTGCTGAACTGTGTGTTGGATGATAGTTGGCTTGCAAGGTTTTGTAGGCTATCAGATACCTAGAAATTTGTAGTCCCGATGGTGACTTTTTTTGGATTTTAAACCTAGATTTTCGTGTCATCTATATTGTTTTTCGATTATTTTTTCGGTATTACTGTCTATAAGAAATATTTTTCAACGAATTGTAAGCATGTCTATTCTATTTCAGATTTCTTGCTCATATCAGAAAGCCAATCTTTAGATAACTAGTTCAACTAATAAGTTACCAATCAAGTGACATCTACAACGTAAACACGAACATTTATACAATTTGATTACTTGCATATCCAAGTGAGTTTTCCTTTGACACTAGTGTGTGTGGTAACTAATTGAGAAGAATGTATTGTAATTTTCCTAGAATGAGATATTGGATTTACCTTTACGCAGCTTTCCCATGACAAAGAAATAGATAATCAGAGTGTGAGTGTCTGTGCTGGTGTATGTTTGTGGTTGTAGATGTTCTCCTGATCCATATCTCTACCCGCACCCCCACATTGACACCTAAGCTCATGTGTATACTTACACCCACACGCATACCTCAAATTCATGCCCATATCCACAACCGATCTTTTTCGAGGCGCAGACGGCGCTACTTTTGTTTCGTCTCAGCTGCTGATCATCGTGTGAGGTGGTCCATAGTGCTTAGAGACCGTATGTGTGTGAGAACGATTGTAGGGATACTAAATTTCATAAAAGGTGTGCTCGAGTTTAAAAAGCCACATTCAACGAGTATTAGACGGTGTTAAAAGTAGGTAATAGAAAAATCATTTATGTCCATTGAAAATTGGTCAAAAACGAACGCTGTATAAACCACATGTTTCTTCTGTGTCATGCAGACACGTTCAATGTGGCTTTATTTACTCGTGTGGAAAAGAGAGAAAATCTACGGCGTTTCAATGGCGTTTTTTACACTCTTTGTCTGCATGGGTAACATAAAGAAATTGGTATAGATCTTCATGTTATACAGATTGGGATCGATAAAGTAGATCTAGTTTTCATCTATCGATACGCCTCTCTTACAATATGCAGTAAGGAGCTACAAACTATCTAACTCGTATTTTAGGATCATCACTTACAACAGCTACATTCACTTCGATGACAGCTACACAAATAGAAAACGCACGATCGAATACCAGTACGTATATTCCATACAAAGTTTATGAAATAGTGATGCTCAGCTAAAGAACTATGCAAAAAATTAGTGAAAATAACATTTTTTAGACTCTCAGT